CTTTGTAAAATGTATTAAAAAAAGTTGTCGTGACGTGAATGCTTCGTTGAGAAAATGACGACTGTGCAAAGTAGCATCGTGAAATCTTCTCAATTTCCACGTCTCGTTCATCCCTATTTTATTTCTCAGCGAAAAACAATTGTTACGGCGTTCCCATATCGCTGAATATTCCTCCCAAGAACAAGGCTTTCATATATATTTTTAACAAAAATATCTAAATTATGATCCGGACCATCATTGCATGAACTGACGTTGAATCACCCTGCAGCGCTAGCGGTCCAAACCAGATTCCGAAGTTTCAGTACTAACTGTTATCTTATTTAAAAGTTGCAGGTGATTTTCTGAAAATTTCAATGGGAAAATGGGGTTCATTTTTGCCCGTTTTCGGTAACTGACGCCATAGAGCTCCATGTATTCGAGAGCTCTGTCGGCCGCCATTTTTCCGTTGAAAATTTCAGAAATCACTTATAACTTTTGAATAAAATAACGGTTAGTGCTGAAACTCTCGCATCTGGTTCGGACCGCTAACGCTACACATGGGCAGATAATAGGGAGTTTTTGTAGACCGCGTTTCCCCCTCCGCTAAGCCCTCCGCAACGAAAAAATAGCTACTGCGCATGCGCGCCCATGGCTTTGACTGGAGAGTTCCGGGTATGGTAGCGGGTTGCGGAGAGCGTTGCGGAGTGGCGAAAACGGTCTACGAAAACTCCCTAATGAGCTTTCGGCAACGCGTAATTCATTTTTGAAATAAAGAAAAATGGTACAACCTGTACTTAAATACATGTACGAAGCCATTTTAGCACCGTTTTGTATGCCATGAATTTGAGAAACGGCGTAACATGACCAAAATGTTCGTCTGCGTGACTGAAAAATGTTCCAAACTATCTAGTACGTACGAATTATTCGTGATATTTTTTTTTTTTCTTATAATCAAGCGCAGGGAGAAAATGCACTTACTTTTAACGCGTAGCGTTAAAGGGGTACTCCACCGATTTTTTGAGCTAGCTCAACTAACTATATTTTCTGACTCCCCGGCCTTTACCCTCTCCGGTATGCTATTTAGAATCGCGAAATTCATAATAGGTGTTGTGAAATCGGCAAATGAAAATGGTGCAAAAACCAACATTCAAATATACGCGCACTTTTCAGTGCCGTGACGTCAGTGGCAGGCGGGCTTGCCAGTCGCGCATGCAGTCAAAAAATAGAATATGCCAATCATTTGTTCCGTGCTGGAGCGCGGGTACTGCAGCGAGCTTCCCATGCATTCATTTGACACCATGAAACTGCTTCGAATCAGTTTAAAACAAAATCTACAGCCCAAAGAGTGGACCCCTGCCTTCCACCGACGTCACTTTTTCATTGTTGCCAGTAGAGACTTTCAGTTTGAAAAACACGGTGAGGACCAAAACTGTAAATTCAATAACTTCGCGAAAAAACAATATTTTGACCTAATATTTGGGATACTACTTTCGCGATGTTTGTTGGTTAGTTTAGCAAAATTTCAAGCAAATCGGGGACAATCTCGATTAAAGCAAATCGGGGACAAAATCGGGGACAAGCCGGCGTCGGTGGCGTTGCGACGGGAAAATCCTGATTGGTCGATAGGGTCATGACATCACAGCACATGAGGTCGCGCGGGAATTTCAAACACAAACTTCACGTAAAACGTGACGTCACGCCTGGAATTCAAGTGCTTAAAAAAACATGACATGTAATGCGAATTAGAGGTCGCCACATGTCTCAAACCATTTTTTTACGTTGTTTATCGTGTCCCGGAGGATAGAGAAAACATCTTCATTAAAAAATGTCGCGATTCCGCTGCATAATCGCAAAGCGAAAGTAGAGCTCTTTCCCCCACCTGCAGCCGCGAGTGGCAGCCGAAAGAACTACGGCGAGAAGCTTACGTGACCTCCCTCGGCTCTAAGCTGCAGCATAAAGCGCCGTTCACACTTCTGCGACCGAGTAAGACCGAGAGTGACCAAATCGGTTTTTAAGCCTTTTGCGACTTCTTAGGACCGGATGCGATGCAGCAGAGCTGGTCCTAAGAGATCGCAAGAGGCTTAAAAACCAGTTTGGTCTCTCTTGGCCTTACTCGGTCGCAAGGGTGTGAACGGGCCTTAAAGGGGTACAGAAACGAAATTTTAGCGCCGATCTTTCTGCATAAATAGGGGCTAGGGACAGGCACCACCTCGGAAATATCAATATCGCGCTGTAAAACACAGGAGAACTAATTTTAAACCTAATTAAACCGTTTCAAATTCACATCTGGTGGATGGTGGGAAAGTTCTCGTGACATCACTTGTGGCATAGGAGCAGCGCCGTTCTGCGGCAATACGGCGTGCCGGCAGAATTAGCGTAGGCCTGAACGCGTTTGCAAAACCTTGGCGGAGAAAGCCAAAGCGTAGTTGGCCTCAGTGAGTTCGTTCTCGTTGCGGCTCTTTGGACAACACGACCCGAGCATGCTTCTGGCACGGCTGGTATTAGTTGCTGCGAGTTGCGAGCTGCGAGCCGACGTTAAAAAAGATATGTTTGAACTACGAGAGTGTCAGCAAGAGCCACGCAAATACCTGTTCACACTCGGAGCAGACACGCGCGTTCGATCGAAGTGCTGGATTCGCTCTGTTAGACCACGATTGCTACTCGACACTGACATGACACTCGGCAAAGAAAGGTTGGACCGACATCGCGTAGCTTCCACGAACTGCTACAGCTCGACAGTGACGTAGCGTCGTGTCAGAATAAAAATGGCGTACTAATAACAAAGTGTACATACCGTGTTGCGGAGCTAGTCCGTATGGCGTTTATTTGAGCTCTACCGGGTGATTCAAGGAGACGGCAGGCTCTTTAAAATCGACCGGAAAATTTGGTTTCCTAACCTATCGCGCTACGACTTTGTGCAGCGTTGCCCACAGATGGTGCTTTTTTTTTTTTTTTTTTTTGGTAAAACTTGCAAAGAGCGAATTTACCTGAGGAAAAAGTAAAGAAAGAAAAAGGCTTAGCTCCTATGGAAACGCAGCGACGCCACCGGTCTTCAAACAACACGGCGCCGTTTCGCACGGGACACAAGGGATGGCGCAACGAACGCCGCCAACGAACGAGCATACGGCGCCGAGAGCCAGCGTCTTTAGCAGACAATCTTTTCGACTCTGAGTCAAAAGCGGCGCGCGTTCGGCAGGCGGCGACAGTCGCAGAAACAAAAACAGGCACGGTAACAATAGTAACAACAAGGAACTGCAGTTCCTTATCTGCTAAATACGCCGGCTCTCGGCGTCGTCTGCTCGTTCGTTGGCGGCAGTTGGCGTCGCGACCGCTTGCGCCATCTCTTGTGTCCCGTGCGAAACGACGCCGTGTTGTTTGAAGACCGGATTGCTATCAAAACCGAGACACTAAGTGCCAGGCGTAATGGAGTGTTGAACACAAACTTCTACAGACTCTATTATATAGTGGTGCCGTACTTGAGGCTAGAAACAGGGTATAACCAGTGTCCGTGTCTCTCTCCCCCCCCCCCCCCTCCCCTCTTTTTAAGTTATGTATTCTGGCCGATTCCAAGAGCTTCCGTTCGCTAACTCCTCATATTGCATTGAGAACAATATTTAGGTCATGCATTGTTACCACTTTCTTTCTACTGTAGTACTGTTGACTTATACGCCCTTTGTATGTTTATCTGGTGAAACCCTCGTCATCTTGTCCGGTCTAGTTGCTTCTCCCCCCCCCCCCCCCTTTTTTTATATTGTCTTTATGCTTGGTCATGCTTTCTCGTGACCTCCAAATGTTGTCCCCTCAACTCTCCCCTCTCTTTTTTAAGGATTTGGATAAAACGCGTCACACATGAACTGTGTCGCCATTCCTGACGAAGGCAAGACTCTTGCCGAAACGTTGAAATAAACCTTCCGTGTTTTTGTTTCTCTGACTTGGGATTTTCAACTTTGTGTACTCCACGCCTTCGGCCAACCCTACGCGACCATGCCCTATATATATATATATATATATATATATATATATATATATATATATATATATATAGAAAGAGAGAGAGAGGTGAACTACACGATGCGACATGAGCCCCCGCACATCAGATATATACTTCTGGGGCCCCGGTCCTTTGCCTAAACCCTCCTTGCTCCACAGCATTGCCCTATTTGTGCTGACATGTGATCCATTAGAGCAGATTTGAAACATAGCCATTATTAATAGTTCATAGGAGCAACCATGGTATTTGGAGCAACCGTACAGAACCCCCTCCCCTCCCCCTCCCCTCCCCCCCCCCCCCCCCCCCCCCCCCCCCCCTGCGGAGTGCCGCAGGAGTTGAGGCCATCTCCTGCGGCACCACTCCGCTTTCGTAAATATTTCGTTGTATTCTCAACAAAAGGTCTCACCGCCTACACATGGTCTTAAAAAACTTATTCGACGAATGACGACGAACGAGTAGAAGACGTGTCTTCAGCTCGCGGCCACCAGCCTCTGCAACGCTTGCGAAAACGCGATTTCTCTGCATGCAACATGGCCGTCCGGTGGCCGCACCAGCGGAGCGGGTGCGGCCACCGAACGGTAAATAATTAGACTAACGTTGATTGAGACAAAAACATCGTCATTTCTAGTTTATTTTGTTTTAAGAACATTGGGAGCTTTCAAACAGCTCGGTGACGTTCACTTATGGCGCGAATTTCAAAGCCGATCAAAGCAGACGACCAGAGCCGACCAAAAACGCCTGCTCCGAAAAGCCACTTCGCTTTACGTAACGTCTACATTCGTCGCTAGCAAAAGCAGGTTAATTGTTTATATTCCTTGGCATCGAGATGAAGAACAGTAAGCTGTCGAAGCTTAGCAAAAGACTCACCACGAGGAAACTACCCATTACTGTTCTTCCTTCGGCAAGTAGTGGAAAATGCGTTTGCAGCGACGACGAGAATAAAGAGCCTTTGGTCGGCGGCAGCTCGGGTAGCACCTGCAACAAGCGAATTTTTCCTGACGACAATGACCCTCCGGCAGTGTCAGGAGAAATGTCCAAGATTCTCGACAGTTTTGGCAACGACGTCGCCAAATCACTGCGTGCCAAGAAACGACGACTTCGGAAACGCCTTCGCGTAAGTCTAGGTGGCCAAATCAAACCTTTTTTTCCTTTAGCTTTTCCCCATTCTCCTACCTTGCTTTTCTTGGTTCTTTTTCTTAAATTATGAGTATTATTGCTTACTTTTCTATTCTTACAATTCCTTCCCCAAAAATGTTTTTTCTTCTATTTTCTAAGAACATATTCAATTAATTCACCGTAATCTCGTTTCAGACATCAACCAAAGCTATTACAAATAAGATGTCGGGCTTGGATGAATCCTTGCTAGCCGAACGGCACAGAGTTACCGAAGAGTTTAAGAAACAAGTTACCTTCATCACCGAACAAATTGAAAACGACATCCAAAAAGTGAAGAAGTCGGAAGAGAAGATTACGGTAAGACATCCTAGTTCAATCTAGTCAGAAATGGGACACCTCTCGAACTTGGACGTATTTACCTTCCAGAAAGCCCTTGTGCAATACCAGAAGCGTCACCAGCAGCTCATAGAATGCAGTACCATGAAGTTCATGGTTTTGAGGTCATTCTGGACTACCTACTCTGACGTAAGCTCTCCAAGCAGCGATGCTCATTCTGGCTATTTTCTACTTTCAAACCTAACTTTTTTGCCAACTCTCATAACTTCTGCTCAACATTATTGGGAAAACAAGTCGTGCTTGGGAAAGAAATTTAAATGCTTAAGTGCCTGTTCGAACAAAATGCACCTGCTTGAGAGAGAGCCTAGCAGATGTGCTTTTCCTAACACCGCGCACATAGAGAGATCCATACTGCCCAAAAGATAACTTAGTAAAGTCCATGTTACCCAATGCATCGATATATATGGGTTCAAAGCGAATATCAGCGACCATCACAAGCGTGTACAGTAGAATCTGGTAAAGTATGTACAATCATTCCCTCCTCTCCCCATTCCAATAGGCAGCTAAAAAGATGGATGCCGAGCAGACAGCTCAACAGCAGAAACTCAACTCGGAAGTCGAGGACGAAATCCTCGGCCTCCAGAAGATTCTCACCGACGCTCAAGAGCACGAGATAGTCAAGATGCGCAGCAACCTGCAGAACATCCTGATGTAGCGCATTTCCGCATTCTCTACAAGTCTAGAGGCAAATTGGACAGTCACATGTCATTCATTTCTGATGCCACATATAGCAAAACTTTGTTGTTTTGACCCATCCGAAGCTGGGTACTACTTTCAGTTGAAAAGACGTTGCGGTGGATTGTAGGAAAAGCATGGGGCAGTTCGTACAGTTGTTGCCAGTGCAACTAAGTAAAGGCAAGCGTGCCACCCAATTGTTCAAAGACAATGAATTTGCTAGCAGTCTGGCTTGCCTCTTAGATATCTGTACTCGCTGAAATAAAGAAACCGGTGTTTTTTTTGTCTATTTATTATTTGGGTCCATATCACAAGAGCGTATGACATTTTAGCGAACGGCGACATTTGAGCGAATGGTCGTTTTAGCGAATAACGGGGGCGCGCGTTAACCCATCCGTCGCGCTGCGCTTTACGCCGCTTCGCGGCGGCAGTCTGCGGCAACTCATTACAAAAATATGAACTCATTTGGCCCACCCGAAAACGCCGCTTCGCGGCGTCCGACTATTCGCTAAAGTGTCGTTCGATGAAACGTGGGCGTTCGCTAAAACGTCATTCGATCAAGTGAGTGCCTCCCTTATTATTTGGTGACGAAGATTATACTCTGAAGGTCATTTGCACTCTGAATATTATATTCAATTATATAGAGTGCAACACAGTTGTCATGAGCATGCAATCAACGAACGGTTTTAATATTTTTCCTTCTGGAGCTCAAAAAACAGTCATGGAAGATAGAGTAGTGGAATCTGCTTACAGACACCAGCAGCTTTGGGGTAGAATTCGGCATTTGATGCCGATATGTAGAAATAAAATGCACAAAAGTGCATATATTGTGCTCAGGGTAACTGTGTTGCGGAGGGTATCAGGCTCACATGATAGGCATATTATACATAAAAAAAAAGACTAAGAAAAGAGATCTGTGTGCTCTCAATCAAGCAGTGGGGAATGGCAAGGTAAATTTAGCGGTCTACATGCAAAATCATGGCAGGGCATCTGTCACGTCTCAGTGAAGGACTGAAGACTATAATTTCAACTAACTTAGAAACTTCTGACGAGCAGAGCAACTGAAACGTCGGAGACACGACGTTGTTCTCGCAATAAGGTACTTCGCGGGTATGTAACAGGAATGTTAGATGTGGTGATGAGACACACACAATGCGACAGTGTACTCTACGAGGGGCTCCGGAACCGGGGGGGCGACAGTGTACTCTACGAGGGGCTCCGGAACCGGGGGGGGGGGGGGGGGGGGGACGTCAGAACAGCTTTGAGTGTGGGGGCATGGTTCCCC